TTCCTTGCAAGGAACCTTATAAATGTAGCCACTTGTATTGTTGGGGGAGTTCTTGATTAACATTTGTTTAACAGTGCATGAGTTTTTAAATGTTCTTTTAAATGCCACATTGACGTTCCAGGTTTTTAGTTGTAAAGTATTAAGTATTAAGCAACCTATATAAAGTATTAAGCAACCTATATATGGAATTCTTTGAAAAGAAACTATTAAGTAATATTTTACCACCTTCAGCAGTCTGGTTTAGATATGTAGATGATGTATTATGTCTCTGGCCAAGTAATGAGGACCTAAAAGCTTTCCTGCCACAACTTAACAACTTAGCCCCCTCGATCAAATTCACTGTGGAATTAGAGCATGACTGTAAATTGCCATTCCTTGACTGTCTGATACACAGAATAGGTAACACTTTTAAGTTCAGTATTTATAGGAAACCTACTAATGTGTGTTCATACATTCATTATTATTCTGTCCACCATAATAGAGTCAAACAGTCATTATTTTCAACAATGTTTTTACGTGCTTTGAGAATTTGCAGTCCGGAATTCATTGATGAGGAATATAAATATATCTATAATATTGGCTCAAACCTTAAATACCCTAGATCTTTCATAGACAAATGCCTGAACATTACTAAGAAATCTTTTTATAGAACTGATCCCAAGCCCACCCATGACCATAAGAATCTCTTAGTATTACCACTCCCAAAAATTTCTCTCAAATTCCTTTTCAACTAAAAACCTGGAACGTCAATGTGGTATTTAAAAACTCATGCACTGTTAAACAAATGTTAATCAAGAACTTCACCAACAACACAATTGGTTGAATTTATAAAGATCCTTGCAATGAATGTAATATGTTTTACTTAGGCCAGACAGGTAAAGATCTTGTAACTAGATTTAAACAACATAAATATAGTGTTAGGACAGGCCAGGAATCCAATGCTCTGTTTGTTCATCTGAGGGACAATAAGCATTGCATTGACTGGGATAATGCCTCCTCAATATTACCTTGTAATTCAATTGACAGTAGGAACATTATAGAATCTAGTCTCATTAAACATACCGAAGCAGTCAACATGAATTTGAGTAATGGCATGTACAAACTGGACAATTTTGTAATTAAAAAGATTTGTAACCAGGTGAGAAGGTTGGGTCACCTTACCCTCTCACCTGACTACCGACCGTTGCAGTGCTTTTTAAAGATTAGTAGGGTCATTACCTAATACCTGACCATTGTGGACCTGATCTCACCCTCCTCTGTATATATATACCTTGTTTTGTACTTCTCCTTAGTCTGTACTCACTCCTGAAGATGTGAATTACACAAAAGCGCTTGGGAACTTCATGTTTTCTTTTTCCTTGTGGTTATCAGCATATACCTGGATCACGCGCACCTACAGTGATTTACTTTATATATATATATATATATATATATATATATATATATATATATATATATATATATATATATATATATATATATATATATATATATATATATATATATATATATATATATACACACACACACAGTCGACCCTCGTTAATTTGGACCCCTTTAATCCGGATTTCGGATAATTCGGACAAAATCTGAACTTCTTTTTTTTAGATTTGTAGGAATATTACCTATGCGGACCTTAAGCTAAAATGCTGGTCCACCCACTGCTGGGATAAAACACCAGCGTCTTTTTGGTTAAATGTAACATCTCCACCACTAGTGTGGGGGGGGGGGGATGCAACTTTTAGCTTCAGACATGAAAAATATTTACCATTTACTGCCAGTAAGCAATGGAAACGTAAAATTTGTACCAATTAGTAATGAAACGTTGTGCAGTTCCTTCAGCAAATGAAGCTCACCAACTTACAATAGGCTAAATTACCTTACAACGTGTTTTCAGTAGTCTATGTTGAAGTTCATAGCACAGGCTAACTTATCATATCATATACGGTATCACAGTTCTCATTGATCTACAAAAAATACCGGTAATAAAAACCTTTTTGATATTTCACACTTAATATAATACCCGGTAATCTACTTCAACCTCCTATTGTTTACAACGACACATGACGCACCACCAGCTGTTGAGTATCAGCTACACGGTACACGTGTTTTTCGAATCGTTTTCAGTTAAAAAACTGTTACATGACATGTATATTTTACCTTAACTGTGCCTGAATGAATATATTCTCGGAAATAAATAGTAGTTTTGCTGAAACGTGATGTATTTTAATGTAAAATAGGATAAAATACATGACGAAAACAAAAGATTTTACCTAAGCTTCCGATGTTCAAGAGAAGTTACTCGTTTTTTTAATAGTTTTGGTTAAAATACTGTTATATTACAATGGTATTCTATTCATACTGTGCTTGATATAATGCATTCACGGAAATGTAATATTTTTGCTGAAATGACGTACGTTTTACAGTGGAAAGTGGGATCAAATCGTGACGAAAGCAATGACTTTCGCTTTCTTTCGTTCAAAGGATGTTACCGTAATCGCTTTTCGAATGGTTTTCAGTTAAAAAACTGTTGTATTACAATAATATTCTATCCTAATTGACTTGAATAAATACTACGATACCATATTTCTGAATATTTTCATTAAAATCCATCCAAATCATTTTCCTTGTCATCGTCTGCAGCACCAAACAACTTCTCCCAGTCCTCTCCTTGAACAGGGCTAGAGGGTACGTGTTTTTCGAATCGTTTTCAGTTAAAAAACTGTTACATCACACGT